AATGTCTGTCTTTATTCCAGTCTTGCAGAATTACTGAAATTACAGAATTCATTTTTTTGTGTGCCATTTTCTTTCTTCTCTGGTTTTTGGGTTGACTAAGTGCATCTGGACTTACTGTCATTTCTGCTGTTTTTATTGGTAGATTCGAGGATTCCCCACCATAAAGGTCTTTCGTAAAGGAGAGGAGGCAGAGGACTATCAGGGAGGACGTACCCGATCTGACATTGTTGCTCGTGCCATGGATCTTTACTCTGACAACATCCCTCCTCTAGAGCTTCAAGAGGTGAGTGTTTTCTCTTCTGTTTCTTAAGATAGAGTGTTTTATTTAGTTAGTAAACATCAATAGGTATTGTAACCTGTTTAAAAAATATTTAGTTTATATTCATGTGAATTTTATTTCCTTTAGATTTTGAATGAAGACATTTTGAAGAAAACCTGCGAGGACTATCAGCTGTGTATCATATCTGTGCTGCCTCACATTTTAGACACAGGTACAATACAATTTCAACTTTAAAACGAGATACTTTTGTTGATTATCATTTGATCTGTGTTTTACAAATTAAAATATGAAAGTGAGAATCCTCTTAAACAGAATAATTCACTAGGGATGCCCAATATACTGGAACCATATTGGTTATAGTCTAATATTACAGATTTTTATTTTATATATTGGTCAGGGTTGGAAATTTTATTATGCATGCTCGTTTACTAATTTAGTCTGTCATCTAATGTTCACTTAATCTTTAAAAAAGGACTAATAACTGTTAAATATACAGTATAATGCTGATGCCTCATTTCACTTGTTGCATTTAAAATGTTTGATTTTAGTTTTTTATTTATTTAAACAAAATAGCATATAATTTCAGTACCAGCCATTTATCAGATACCAGCCATAACCTAAAAATAATTATCATCAGCCAAAATTGTATATATATATATATATATATATATATATATTTATTTAATTTAATTAATTGCAGTGGTCACTATAAGCGATCACTTCAGTTTATAACTTACTGTGTATTATACAAATGTATCAGTAACATGATGCATTTAAGTACTATTACTATTATAGTTTAAATATTATTATCTTGTTGTTTTATGTGTCTCAAGTTTGTTCATTTTTAATTTTGAATAAAGTTTTTAATTTTATGTGCTTCTGTCATTTTTATTTATTTATTTGTATGAATTTATTTTAGTTTTAGTCATTTTAGTACTATTTAGTTGCCAACATTTCTAATAAGTATATATTAACGCTATTAATTTGTGGAAGCTAAGCTCAGTCTCTGTATTTTTCTATGAACGCAGGTGCATCTGGAAGAAACTCTTACCTGGAGGTGATGAGGACGATGGCAGAGAAATACAAGAAGAAGATGTGGGGGTCAGTGTTTTCAGTCTGAGTACAAGTTGAGATCAGCCTGCCCATAAATAACACCAGTACATGTCACTGCTTGTGTGCCAGAGATGAGACTTTAGGGAATAAAGAGTGGAAAACAGTCACACACGTCACACTCTTCCTTATCTCTCTCTCTCTCTCTCTCTCTCTCTCTGTACAGTTGGTTATGGACTGAAGCAGGGGCACAGATGGAGCTGGAGTCCTCTCTTGGGATCGGTGGATTTGGCTATCCTGCCATGGCAGCCATTAATGCTCGCAAGATGAAGTTCGCCCTGCTCAGAGGCTCATTCAGTGAAACGGGCATCCACGAATTCCTCAGGTAACAGAAGGCTGCAGTTTATGTTTCTGGGAAACAAGTTACGTCACAGAGACTGTTAGCATACAGTAAACTGTAGGTGTTGTTTATAAGGGCCCTTGTAACTGTCAGCCTGTTTTATGCTGTTAAACTATTAATGTCTTTATTTATGCAGGGAACTTTCTGTTGGCCGTGGCTCCACTGCTACAGTGGGAGGTGGAGCTTTGCCTAAGATCAACACTGTGGAACCTTGGGATGGGAACGATGGAGTGGTGAGTATAGAAAACAAAGTGAGGGTGTATGGATGTCATCCTTCCTTGTTTTCACCCCCCCTTTTTTGGCCTTTCCTCAGTTGCCCACGGAGGATGACATTGACCTAAACGATGTGGATCTGGATGATCTGGAGAAGGATGAGTTATGAGCCTGGTCTAAACTACTCTAGACCCCAAATGATGCCCATGTCTTCTCTCCCATGGATGAGGGGATGGTTGGGACAAAATTCCTTAAAACTTCGGAAAAGATACAAATAAAGCAAACGATTGTGCAGTTTTTTTTTAAAAGAAAACATCTCCACGTTAGTTGAAAAATGAGGCTTTTCAGTATATACATCATGATTGAGCTATGCTCTGCCTCAAGTTCCTTCTTCACTTTTTGATTAAGTGACTGATTGGAGTTTTCAATCAGCTTGATGAAGCAGAATGTGACTCGCTGATTATCAAACACTTGTTTCCAGTAAGCAGATGGCACACAGAGGCTCTTCATAGGACACTTTCTAATGACTGTTTCATTGACTAGATTTAATTGGATGGCGCTGGTCTTTCTGGTAATGAGATAAACCAGTGGTTATTTAATTTGGCTTTTCTGTAATTTCAGCAGCTCCTTTCACTGAAGTTGCAAGATGCCTACAGTTGTTTCCATTTTCACCCTCTCTCCCTCTGATGCGACTATTTTTTGGTTATTGTTTTTAAATTGTGTTACTGAAAAGAATGTCATCCAACCTGTATCCCAGTTTGCCCGTTAGTCTAATGTGCTGGACCGGGTGTGATGTGGGCGTTGTGTAGATTTTTCTTACACGGCACCGTTTTGAAAAAAAAATAAAAAAATAATGAAAATAAAACAAAAATAAGTTGACTAGCTTTTTTTTATTACAGCTTGTCTAGGAAGTTACTCAGATTAACACCGGTGGCCTTTGAATCAGTGGTTTATTGAGAATTCATGCAGACATACACTGTAAAAATGCAACATTTAGATTCGTACCGATGCTTTGGCTTCACAAAAATATGGCTGGACATCCCATTCCCAGCTGCAATATAACTTTTTTTGTCAACCATCATTCCTTACAGTACAATCAACACTATACAAAATTAGAACTGACTCATAAATCTAATATATATATATATAAGTATCCAGTACAAATATTAGTTTTGGCATTTCACTTCAACAGTCATTTTACAGAGAAAAACAATATTGAGGGAGCACTGAAATGCCACACATGCAAAAGAGCAAATTAAGAGCATTAACCGAGTAAAAGAATGTTTCCATTAACAGAAAGAGCTTGACGACACTATATTTGACATGAAGTGTTACTGTTACATTCCATGGAGCTACTTATCCAACAGCATCTGTACTGTTCATGTTGACACTGGACTGGTGAAAGAACAGACAGAAACTAACCACCTGTCTGCCAATCTATCTGTTCCATAGGTTCACACAGACAACAGTGTTCAAATATTCATGAGCAGCCTAAAGGCTGGTGGTTGCTGTTTTTTTACCTTCAGGGCAGAAACAGTTGTGAAAAGTTTGACTGACTGCTTATGTTACTTTGAAGAAGTTTCCTTTGGAATTGAAACCAAAACAGAGGAAAAATAATTAGGCATGATTCGATTGCACTTTAAAACAGTTCATCAATGTGCATTATAATTCGAATCATTCTCTGACCTCCTGAGAAAAAAAATCCAAACTTATTCTAGCATAGATTTTAAATCTAAATGCTACATTTGAACTCAAAATACGTGATAATGAAACCTCAGTACCCAGCAGTGGGCATTCATTATTGTTCAAGAGTTTGGTTTCAGTAAGACTTTTTTTGAAAATATCTGCATTTATCTGATCAAAAATACAATGAATTAATATTGTGAAATATTTTTTAAAATTTAAAATAACTTTTCAATTTTAACATATTTTAAAATATATCACTTGTGATGGCAAAGCTTAATTTTCAGTGGCCATTTCGCCAGTCGTCAGTGTCACATGATCCTTTAAACCACACTGATTTGATATTGATATATATTGTAACAATGCAAAAGTGTTTACTATCACTTTTGATCAATTTAATGTATCCTTGCACAATCAAAAAAAAAAAAAAAACCTTACGGACACCAAACTGTTGGCATGTTTTGTTCCACATTTAAAGAAGCAATACTTTCCTTTTAAAATGCAGAACACAGACAGTCTGATGTTTCAGAGTGATCATGATTGGCAGGACAGCAGGCTGCTCCGAATGCAGCTAGACCACCTGATGTATAAAACATTCAACCAAAGAACACCATGTACAAATACTATGTTTAGGACATGCCAAAAGCATGCAAATAGTGCTCTGGATATATTTGAGGTTGATTTTTGGAATGAATGCAAAACAAATGGAATATTTACAAGCAGAAATTCACACTTTGATTGGAATGCAAACAATTGAGAAAATGTCATTCTTTTTAGGTCGTCTCTTAAAGACACTATGAAGTCACTTGACAATTTTACAGATTCATTCTAAAAAGCATTTGACTGGACAAAAATATGTGTAATGCAAGCAATAATCAGAAGAGTAAGTTTTAAAATATAAATATCTGAATTTGATTTCAAGGGTTCTTTAAAATTCTAACCAAGCCCAGACATGACAACTCAACAATACCAATCCAAAAACAGGCTGGAATACTGATGAAACTGGTAACCACCCATTAACAAGGAAACTTCTTTTAAGCAGGAAAGATACAAGTGTATCATTAATAACGCAAACTACCTGTCTAATTAAAATCTTGCCTTTTCAGTGTGCATGTGAGTGGTTTCCTGTCAGCTGCTTTTAAAGGGGTCATATGATGCGATTTCAATTTTTCCTTTCTCTTTGGAGTGTTACAAGCTCTTGGTGCATAAAGAAGATCTGTAAAGTTGCAAAGACTAAAGTCTCAAATCCAAAGAGATATTCTTTATAAAAGTTAATAGTCAACAACGCCTACCTAAAACGGCTCGTTCTAACACGCCGACACATACCTACGTCACTATCTGGGAAGATTTGCATAACGCCGCCCAAATATGTATTTATAACTGTCGAGAGGTGCTTTGGTCAGACTGCAGTAGTCTGACAATAGAGGGGTCACTCTTGGCACCTTTGATGAATTCCTCCAGAGAGAGTCTGCCTATAAATTTGAAAAAGCAACAACAAAAATTTTATTTCACCCATTTCCAAGAGTAACATCTGAGTGTTGCAAATATTGATGAAATATCCTAGAACTTAAGTGAATCCTAAATAAATTTTATTGGTTTATCTGTGTGTCAGTGGTTGCCATGGACACGGTGAAAAATTATTTTCTAAATCAGTATTTTTGTTCAATTTACTTGGCAACCAAAGTTACATAAGACATGAAAACACTAAATTTGGCTTAATAAAAAAACTATTTGGAAATTGGGTAAGAAAAATTTAAATTGTTTAAATTCTGACATTTGACATTGGGTTAGGAAACTTAAATGCAAACTTAATTATCTTGATATCTTGTTTTAAGGAAATATATATATATATATATATATATATATTTTGTTTTTTTTCCCAAGTGAAGTTTCTATGACATTTTGTGTGGTTCAACTTCTATATAAATATTAACAGTGAGTGGGAGATGGATCTCGAGAGGCGTACCATCATTGTCCGTATCCATCTGTCGAAATATCTTATCTGTGCGTTTCTCTGGCGTCGACTCATCCTCAGGCATCTTCATCACAGATGACACCATTTTATAAATCGCCTGTGAAGATTAATGTAACTGTGTATCAAAGCATATGGTAGTTTGCCGTCACATGCAAAGGCTTCGGTTTTCAGTTGCAACAAGTTTGATAAGGCTGTCTTAATAATGCTACGACTGACAGTCAAAAGTTCCATAACGCAGCTGTCACTGTCACAGCTTCAATCAACACTTCATATCAGCGTAATCAATGCAAATGATCATGAGCCCATTTCTCTGCCAGACACATTTAATGTCACTTTCAGATATTGTTTTATAACACGTCCTCGGTCGCAGGTGTAAAAGAGCCATCTATGTTATTAACATGAGAGTCAACAGACCCTTTGAAGTAGTGAACAAAGCCTTTGTGTTTGGCCACCATTTGTGGCAAGACCATATGGCCTGTGGAACACTTGATTGAGGAGATCTGTTTATTCAGGAGGTCTGTATCACCAAACATTAGACTGAGCCAATATTGATGTGGAACAAGCTGCTCTGAAAACAATAACTAGCCAGGTAAAATACAGAAATGCAAATGAAACCAAAAGGAAGGCAAGAATTAAAAAGTACCTCACCTGTACGATCTCCAGCATTTCAGCTCGGCTGATGTATCCGTTTCCGTCCAGATCATACATGCTGAAGGCCCAGCGGAGCTTCTGCTCCAGGCCTCCGCGCGAGGTCACGCTCAGGGCGATAATGAACTCCCGGAAGTCAATGGTGGCATCGCTGTTGGCGTCGAAGGTGCGGAAGACGTGCTCTGCGAACTTCGACGCGTCACCGTAGGGAAAGAAATTGGCGTAGATCTTCTTGAATTCCTCTACCGTTAGGTGGCCAGACGGGCAGTCCTTCAGGAAGCCGCGGTACCACTCCTGCAGCTCGTGGTCCGTGAACTCAGTGTTCTCCCGCAGGTCATTGAGGACCTCGGGTCGCAACTTGCTGTTCTGTTTACCCATGACGAAACACTCTCACAGATGATTCCCAGATCCTTGCTGCTCCCTGTTACACAAACACAAAGAAAAAAGTAGCTACTTAGCTATTCTGAACCCAAAATTAGCCTCTTTTATACTTTCAGCACAAGCCACAATAAAGAGATTCACATTTCCTCTGCCAGATGTAGGTTTTGGAATAATGGAAAACGTGTTACCCTTCCAAATTGAGGGAGTGAATCCTGGTATCCATGGAAACCATTTAATACTTTGTTTCAGTGAGAATTTATTGACTCCTTCACAGTGGGTTAGGCTAACCCACCTTAGCAACAATCAAGTCGGCGTGGGTTACCAGGGAGATGAAGAGAGCATGTGTGTGGGTAATTTGGAACGTTTGGTGTGTCTTACTGTACATGAGCCTGTGCTCGCGGCGTTAAGAGGGGGCAGAGTGTGAAGCACTGCTAGCTCTATTTAAACAAATCATATAAAGACCATATAAATGGTGAGGTGGCCGGGAAGTGAAATTTAACGATAGGTTATGTAAGCTACACATGACCATATGCACTTGCTCCCATATTTCATATATAATCGCACTTTTTACTACAGCCTCTTGCTCCATTCTTCAGTTTATCTGTTCCTATCCCTTTCTGAATCTGACTTGTTTACAGTTTAGTCAATGACATAATGCCTGTTATTTTTTGTCTGGATCTAATTCTTTCTTTCAAAAATACATTAAAATGCTATTCATACATACAATGACTTGAATACATCTCTTCTGTGATCTTTAATTTCTGTATTAAAATTCATTTTGATATATTTGTGGGGACATAATATACAACTGTCCTCCTGACACAATATACAACTTTTTACTTGAGGGTTACATTACATGACATTTCATAATTTATATTTTCAAAACCATATGAAACCAACATGAACACAGAGTATATTTTTAAGAACTTGACCCTTAAACTAGATTTGAAAAAGATCATTGGTCACTATCAGACCTGTGTAAGCAGAAATCTATTACTATGACCAGACTGTGCATATTTTATTTGCAAAAACATATCTTCATGCAAGCATCTTTCTTTCCAGTGTTGCAGGATGTCCTACTTTAGCACACAAGCTCCTGGTTTCAAGACTGCAGGGTGGCAAGTGAGATCATGGCTCATTATAGATATAAATTGGCGTTCCTGTGACTAAAATACCTTCTGCCATCTATTTCGTGCTGCATCCACAGAGCAACACTACGAGATAATTTTTTTCCTAAAAATTCATGGGTTGCAATGTTACATTGACCTAAAAAACCTTTCATTTTCAAAGATACCGTAAATATCTATTTATATCTGCACTTTATTTCAGTTAAAGCTACACCTTCTTAAGAAGGTACTGTCTTAGATTGTAAGATAGTTAGTTCTAAGAGAAATATATTTTATAGGCATTTAGACTTGATTCTCTAGACATGTCCACCTCTTCAGAAAATGGTTTAGCTCCGCTTGCTTAGTTTGTCAGGGCCATCATAAGGGTGGCTCCTCCCTTGGCTCGAGTCACATGGGTGAAGCTATTGGCCTGGCAGCAGACATAAACATGGGCGTAGCTTGCTGCTCCCTCCCTCTTTTCCCTCAGACACTCACCAAACCACAAGAAACCCAGAACTTTCCATTCTGAAGGAAAAAAAATGTAAGCTCATGCTGCTGTCAAATGGAAAAAAATATGAAAAACGTAGGGTCCCCACAGGCCCTGATCCAGCAGAAATAACAACATCACAGGGGGGGCACATATATAGAGCTGAGAATCAGGCCTATATATGTGCCTCTCTGTAAAGAGGAACCAAAATGAAAGACATGAGTGAGGAGTCGAACACAGCCCTAATTGTCCAAATGCTTGAAAAGCCCCTCGCACAAAATTTAATCAGAACAGCGAAGTGTGAGACGCATCTCCTCAAATGAATTGTGGGTGGAGAGCAGATGGTGTATTAGGCTATACTTGATGCTCCAGTACCTCATGATTCAGAAGCATCCTCTGCCACTCAAGTCACAAACCATAATGCTTTACAGGTGGTTGCACAACTGCCGTCTTTCTGTAAACGATACAAGTGGCACTCACACACCCTAAAGAAAACTGGGAAAACCATATAGCTTCTTATGTCAACATCCCAAAGAATGACCTCATGTTTCTTAAAAGGATAGTTCAGCCAAAAAAATTAAATTCTGACATCATTCAAATACTTTCATGTCAGTCATTCCAAACCTGTATGACTTCTTTTTTTCCCATGGAACACAAAATGAGAAATTGAAGCACTTACTGGTCATTTTTCATTAAATTACAAAGAATGGGAAATGAAGCCTTAAAGTATCATACAAGTAGTTTATATGTTTTATATGGAAATCTTCTGAAATCCTATGATAGCTTTGTGTGAGGAATAGACAAAAACATTATCTTTTCACTTGTTTTTCGCTTATAGTCTTAACATAGAGGACCAGTTAGTTTAGCTGTACTCAAGAACTGGATCAGACTGATTCGTTCAGATTACTTTTGTGAACCAAATAAATGAAAAGATGCAACTGAAAAGCATATTACGTTCACGAATAGACTGAAATGTAATCCTTTCACTTTATATCAGTTATTCACTGATAAACTTAACATCGAGGACTAGTCAACTGAGTAGAACTCGAGAACTGTACAGACTGATTCGTTCTAATTGGTCTTGTGAACCAAATAAACCGATTTATTGAAAAGATTCAACTCACAAGAATAATTTGCTCACAAATAGACTGAAATCGAATCTTTTCACTTATTGTTCACTGACAGTCTTGACATAAAGAAGCAGACAGCTAACTGGATCAGATCATCAGAATGAAATTTTCAGATTAGTTTTGTGAACCAAATAAACTGATTCACTGAAAAAAAATCCAACTCAAAAGAAGAATTTTTTCACGAATCAGACAATGTCATTTTCACTCATGAACTACCATGAATCCGGCAAGCATGATGCCATCACTTACAGTAAACTGAAGCTGTTTCTCACACAAAGCTATTGCATGACTTCAGAAAATGCATTAGACATATGGACCACTTTTATGATACTTTTATTAGGCTTCAGTGTCCTTTTTAAAGCCTGAAAGCTCCAGTTACCATTCATTTTTAACAGCGTGGAAAGAAATTACTGGTACATTCTTCAGTACAATTTTTCCACGGAGGAAGGAAAGTTATACAGGTTTGGAACGCCCTGAGAGGGAGAGTGAAATCATGACAGCAATTTTATTTTTGGGTGAACTATCCCTTTAAGGGTGAAAAGAGGTTTGGAAATGTCAATCAATGTATGGAAAAAAGCCAATACAGTTCAGCCAAGCTTGTGAGTATTTCAATGTTATTTCATTTACTTAAACTGACTGTCCAGAAGAATAAATTTGCATTTATTAGTTTAACATATTTTCTCTGTTTATCCTAAATGCCATTTTCTATTACACTGACCCCTATTGCACTTTCTTCTCACCAAATATTTTACCCTTGCCTGCCATGTCTCTAAAGCAAATATTCTGTCACAATAAGTCACAGCACTTATATTGCATCTAATGACTAAACATTCCTCTATGATTTCCACACAAGCCCTAGGTTCCAGTTTCACTCCCAGTAGCCTTAATTGCACAAACTTGTCTTTATTACAATACCTTCCCTCCTCTCATTAGAGTAGACCCAATTACAGCGCTGCCACTCTGGCAAATGTGAATGTTGTGTCTCACCACCAGATTCCCCACACTCACGTGGCATGTATTTTTTCACAGACCAGTGCGAAAAGCTATACAGTGCAACTTTTGCCCTTAATTCATTTCCAGATAACAGCTTTCATTACACCCCATTCAAAAAAAAAAAAAAAAAAGAGCCAGGTTGCAATTTGAGTCCCTGTGTGTGTGTGGGAGTGTTTGTTGGTGTGAGGCTCATTAAGCCTTCTATTCCCAAATGTGGCCTAACTAAAATGCACCCTGACAGGTGTCAAAAGATCAGTAGAACAGAAAACCCAGTTTTTCTGCCGCTCTGGTGGACTATGAAATTACAGGAAAACAAACAATCCGTTTGAGAATTCAGGGTATTGGTGGCCTGAAAATCATACCACTCAATGTTCTGCATTATAAAGTCCAGTTTTAAGATTTTTCATTTTAGGAACTGATTTGAAGTTTAATTACAAAACAAACAATACATGCTGGTTGTTGGGGTTGAGATGATTGATTTTTGTCTGTTGATTTAGCCTAAAAACAACCACCCATTAGATCAGCACCAATCAGACTGCAAGGAAATGTCTCATCTCTCAAAAGTATCTAGATTTTTCTAGAAAATCTTTGCATTATTTGCACACAATGTTATTTAGAAATTCTAAAGAAAAGCAAAATTGTGTTTAATTTTGTCAAATATACAATGTTGTTCAAAAGAAGAAAAATCTAAATGCAAGTCCGTTTTTATGACAGGTTTGCCATTAACTGTATATGGATTATGGGATAATGCTGGAGTTAGTTTTAAACTAACAAACAACATTAATGTTCATAAAAATAGAAAACAAAATAGTGAAAAAGAGGAACTCTTACAATCTGTTGTCTTTTGTGAATTCTTCCATAAATCATGATATAGTGCAGATGCCGTGTTGAGTGTCACATGCAAAGCATGTGAGTAAAGTACATGTATCTATTGCACAGTAAGCAATTCCCACTCCCATTATGAGGTCTCATATCTTAAGAAAAATGGTTCTAAACAGTACCAGAAAAAGGTTTTTCAGCTTGTAACAATAGCAGAACACTTTTTGGTGCTAAATGGAACCATTTTTATAGGGTTCCATAAAGAACCATGCTTTGAAAGTGCTACATAGGACCTTAATGGTGTTATAAATGACCTTTTCAATGATAGCTTATTTTCATTAATATTAGTATATTATTATATTTACATCATTAATATTTGTTTTATTCATATTATTTGTATATGTTGTTTATTAATATTGTTCTTCAACTCTCTGTCTGCCTGGTCTTATAATATCTTGTAGCCTCTATTAGCATTTTACATAAAAACAACAACAACAACAACATGTAGTTTCAATTAAGTACTTTTATTTATTTA